AGTTAGAATAACAGTCGTCCAAAGAATGTCTTAGTTCTCAGTAAAGAAGATTTTCGTTTAAAAATTCACCAACAATTGCGTATCACATACGAGAATTGAAAGTGTGTAGTGCGATGTTTATTTTGCCTAACGGCGCATGTGCGGGGAAACTCGTCCGATATGCTGGCCCGGGATCGAGTATTTAAAAAAATTGTATTGTTTGTAAATAACGCCAGCACACGCCAAACTGGCTGTGATCATAAGTCTCGCGCGTACATTTATTTCAGTGCCTACCCTCACGCTCACACACACAAATGTATTCTTCATATATATAAACAAAATATATCTGTCTCAACATATAAAAAACACTTCCATCCCACCCGAGCGCCGTTTTTGGGCGACACGGTCCTTCCAATAAATTTTATAGCAAATGTGTGTGTTTTTCTAAATACTAGTATGGAATACAACTTTTGTATATGCAAATATTGATTTATAAAGCTACCCCCCCCCCCACACACACACACATACAGTTTTTAATGGTCAACTCTTCATAATGTTCCGCGACATTAAACATTGAGGGCGCATGTCAGCTCCCTTTTTTGATTACTTTACTCGATAGGACTTTAAGAACTATATTGTATTTTGTTTTGTTTTTTGTTAATATCTAAACATACTCGACCTAAATAGCGGCCGCAGGTGTGAGTGTTCTTGTCATGGCACTGTTACGCACTGGGAAGCAATCTATTGTTAATTTTTTTTTGTTCAAGAGATAACCGTCCATTGATCGTTTCCCCGCAATTTAATACGCAAATTCAGACTACCAACTGAATATTAGCATATGGATATGATAGTCCTAATACCCCCAGTAAACTCAGTGCCGTTTTTTTTTTTTTTTTTTTTTTTTTTTTGCAATACATTATATCTTGCGTTTCATCACAAGGATTCTACTTCAGGGGTTAACTCTGTTGAGGCCCGTGTCTATGATGAAAACAAAACAAGCTCAAACGCAACAACTCAAAAACCGAATTATTGCTTATGCGGTCCAAATTTACTCAGGTTTCCTGATCCAATCGACAATGTTACAATTTGCTCTGATTCTGTTGCCCTGACAACACACACATGATCGATATCCACATATTAAAGAATATGCAAAGTTATTCACTACCACCTTTGTCGCATTAGTCGCATCAGGAAATACCTCAGCAATGATTCTTGTCGCACTTTAATTCATGCAATACTTCAAAGAACCCAAAACACGGCTGCTAGAATCATCCCCGTACTAGAAAATCAAAGCATATATTCCCAGTTTTACAAAAACTACATCGGCTTCTTGTTTTATCACCGAATTGATTACAAAAGTATTCTGTTAACGTCTTGTTCCAAACTACCTCTGTGATCTTCTTCACACCCCACACTTCGTTCCTCCAATAAAGACCTCCTTTGTACCACTAAATATAAATTGAAAACATATGGGGGACGTGTCTTTTCACGTGCCACTCCTCAACTTTGGAACACCCTTCCATCTGACATGCGTCATGTCACTGATGTCCACTTATTTAAACAAAAGACTGAAAACATATTTATTCAACAAAGCCTACAGCGTGGAATAACGCCCTCAGCGGCTGTATATGTATATGTCAAAGCAATCAGCGTAATGCGTATCATATAATTTCATTGTTTCGAACTTTTTGATAAATCCGTGTCATACTCAAAAGTATTTACTAAGTATTTACTACATAGGGGATTCAACATAAAATCTCAATTGGGACAAAAACAAATTCCACTGTCAAAGTTGTTCACATTTTTAATCGTTCTCTCACAGGTCACTGCATCATGCTAAATCTACGCACAGCGTTAAGTTTAAAATAATCGTAATTTTACACCAATACACACTGTGCCTTCACGTGTAGGAGTATAACATGTGTTGGTTGATCAGCGACAGCCTCATTATTTAGGGATATTTACTCGGTTAAGTTGTCCAACCTTTTAGAAGATTAAATCTGAATTAAGTAGGCACCAGAATAATACTCGATTTCCTGTCCGCGTCTGTCATATCCCCCGATTGGAATGTACACTGTACTACTGTGTTTCAGTTTGAGTACACTGCCCTCAGCGACCAATATTTGTTTGCAAGGCACTAGTACACCAAAGCGAAAACCAATCAATTAGGACATTTTACTGGTGGAAATATGTTAGTTTAGCAGCATTATCCTGGGAAAAGTTTAGCTGTGACATACATGGAATGTTCAAAACACTGGTGATTATTTTTTCTTATGCACTTAACTCACCATCATGTTATCATTACAGTCTCAGAAGTGTGGGGGTATTCAATGGTCGAGTCTGTATAACAAACAGTGGGGGGTGTGTCTACGTATCCTGGCACCATTTTAAGATTCCCATTTCAAAGGTGATTTGCTGTCGAGAGACATTATCAAATTTGTAGTCAAGTG